GACAAGTGGGAAACAAGTGGGAGACAAGTGCAAACTCATGCGGCCCAAGGCACCGAGAGTGGGAGACAAGTGTGGGAGACAAGTGTGGGAGACAAGTGGGAGACAAGTGTAAAATCATGTAAAATCATGCGGCCCAACACGCCCAGAGTGAAAGACAAGTGTGGGAGACACGTGGAAGACAAGTGTAAACTCATGCGGCCCAAGGCACCCAAGTGTGAGGGACAAGTGGGACACAAGTGTAAAATCATGCGGCCCAAAACACCCAGAGTGGGAGACAAGCGTGGAAGACAAGTGTAGGAGACAAGTGTAAACTCATGCGGCCCAAGGCACCCAGAGTGGGAGACAAGTGTGGGAGACAAGTGGGAGACAAGTGTAAACTCATGCGGCCCAAGGCACCCAGAGCGGGAGACAAGTGTGGGAGACAAGTGGAAGACAAGTGTAAACTCATGCGGCCCAAGGCACCCAGAGTGGGAGACAAGTGTGGGAGATAAGTGTGGGAGACAGGTGTGGGAGGCAAGTGTGGGAGGCAAGTGTAAACTCATGCGGGCCAAGGCAACCAGAGTGGGAGACAAGTGTGGAAGACAAGTGTGGGAGACAAGTGTAAACTCATGCGGCCCAAGGCACCCAGAGTGGGAGACAAGTGTGGGAGACAAGTGGGAGACAAGTGTAAAATCATGCGGCCCAAGACACCCAGAGTGGGAGACAAGTATGGGAGACAAGTGGAAGACACGTGTAAACTCATGTGGCCCAAGGAACCTTGAGTGGGAGACAAGTGTGGGAGACAAGTGGGAGACAAGTGGGAGACAAGTGTAAAATCATGCGGCCCAAGAACCTCCAGAGTGAAAGACAAGTGTGGGAGACAAGTGGAAGGCAAGTGTAAACTCATGCGGCCCAAGGCACCCAAGTGTGAAGGACAAGTGGGAGACAAGTGTAAAATCATGCGGCCCGAGACACCCAGAGTGGGAGACAAGTGTGGCAGACAAGTGGAAGACAAGTGTAAAATCATGCGGCCCAAGGCACCCAAGTGTGAGGGACAAGTGGGAGACAAGTGTAAAATCATGCGGCCCAAGGCACCCAGAGTGGGAGACAAGTGTGGAAGAAAAGTGTGGAAGACAAGTGTGGGAGACAAGTGTAGGCTCATGCAGCCCAAAGAACCCAGAGTGGGAGACAAGTGTGGGAGACAAGTGTGGGAGACAAGTGTAAACTTATGCGGCCCAAGGCAACCAGAGTGGGAGACAAGTGTGGGAGACAAGTGGGAACCAAGTGGGAGACAAGTGCAAACTCATGCGGCCCAAGGCACCCAGAGTGGGAGACAAGTGTGGGAGACAAGTGTGGGAGACAAGTGTGGGAGACAAGTGGGAGACAAGTGTAAAATCATGCGGCACAACACACCCAGAGTGAAAGACAAGTGTGGGAGACAAGTGGGAGACAAGTGTAAACTCATGCCGCCCAAGGAACCCAAAGTGTGAGGGACAAGCGGGGGACAAGTGTAAAATGATGCGGCCCAAGGCACCCAGAGTGGGAGACAAGTGCGGAAGACAAGTGGAAGACAAGTGTAAACTCATGTGGCCCAAGGCACCCAGAGTGGGAGACAGGTGTGGGAGACAAATGGAAGACAAGTGTAAACTCATGCGGCCCAAGGCACCCAGAGTGCGAGACAAGTGTGGGAGACAAGTGTAAACTCATGTGGCCCAAGACAACCAGAGTGGGAGACAAGTGTGGGAGACAAGTGGGAGACAAGTGTAAACTCATGCGGCCCAAGGCACCCAGAGTGGGAGACAAGTGTGAGGGACAAGTGGGAGACAAGTGTAAACTCATGCGGCCCAAGGCACCCAGAGTGGGAGACAAGTGTGGGAGACAAGTGGAAGACAAGTGTAAACTCATGCGGCCCAAGGCACCCAAGTGTGAGGGACAAGTGGGAGACAAGTGTAAAATCATGCGGCCCAAGACACCCAGGGTGGGAGAGAAGCGTGGAAGACAAGTGTAGGAGACAAGTGTAAACTTATGCGGCCCAAGGCACCAAAAGTGGGAGACAAGTGTGGGAGACAAGTGGGAGACAAGTGTAAATAAACTCAAGTGCGGCCTCATGCGGCCCAAGGCAGCCAGAGTGGGAGACAAGTGTGGGAGACAAGTGTAGGAGACAAGTGTAAACTCATGCGGCCCAAGGCACCCAGAGTGGGAGACAAAGTGTGGGAGACAAGTGGGAGACAAGTGTAAACTCATGCGGCCCAAGGCACCCAGAGTGGGAGACAAGTGTGAGGGACAAGTGGAAGACAAGTGTAAACTCATGCGGCCCAAGGCACCCAGAGTGGGAGACAAGTGTGGGAGACAAATGGAAGACAAGTGTAAACTCATGCGGCCCAAGGCACCCAGAGTGCGAGACAAGTGTGAAAGACAAGCGTGGGAGACGAGTGTGGGAGACAAGTGTAAACTGTAAACTCATGCGGCCCAAGGCACCCAGAGTGGCAGACAAGTGTGAAAGGCAAGTGGAAGACAGGTGTAAACTCATACGGCCCAAGGCACCCAGAGTGGGATGCAAGCCCGGAGACAGAGGCAAAATCATGCGGCCCAGGGATGCAACCCTTTGAAAGGAGTAAGAACCCCATACCGGTAAACCTGTTTGCGGAAAAAACTAGATTCACATGGACCATGATGCGATCTGATGTGATGACAGTGGCTGTGCTAGAAAAGGCTATGCGCATCTCCTCCTGTATCTGGGTGGTGATTCTGGGCTTGAGTGCTCTTGAGCTACCCACTTACACCTGGAGGCACATTCTGGGCTTCAATCGCCAGCTTCCAGCGTCAGACTCAGCTAAGCGTCGTTGTGTTGAAGCGTGCTCCACAGCAGACCTGAAAGCCCAGCTGAAAACCCTGGAAAATCCTAGAGCAATACAATCATGAATCAAGGAGCTTACAATTTACAAGATCACAGAACGCGAGAATGGATTGTCTTTCTGGCGATCTGCAAATTCATTGTCGAGTCAGAAGCGCCGGCGCTTGAAAAGTATCGCACAACTGGTGGTTTAAAACCAAGACAGGTGGTTCGAAATTCATCGAAATTCTTAAGTTATTAGCATCCAAAATCCAAATCATCAAATCGGATCCGGTGTCTGCTCTGTGCAGATAGTTCCGTGCAAATCTGGTGCTTCTAGTCACCTCTCTATCAGTACAACATAGTACAACTATAACAATTACAGAAAGGTCTTCTTATACGTTCAAATGCTTGGCTCAAATGAAATACGGGTTCTGCACAGTATTGCGCAGTAATTATGTAAACTCAAGGGATCTCAAGTGTGTTGTTTTACTCTCAGGCCTGAGCGGTTGTTCAATGAGACCCTACATTTGCCTACAAATTGGATGAGGCTCAACGGAAAGCGATTTCAAACCGTCAGCTGAGAGGCACAATGACTGAGGCGCGGGTGAGGCCTTGCACACGGGTGCAGGATGGTGAAGGATCATCCGAAACTCAGACATTCCGTGTGACAACTCTTGAAGTCTCTCAGCCAAGTGAACCCTTCTGCTCTTATCAACGCAGTCCAATGATATCCATGAGGAATGAAGGAAATCTTTAACTTCAAAAAGATGTCGTCCACTCCACTCTGTCGATGTGCAAATGATCCCTCAACCACAAAGATCCACAAAGTACAGTCAGAAATAGTGGTGGACAGCCTGGAGCTTAGATCCCGACGCGCATATCCTTGCATGTCTGGGAAAATGATCTGGTAGGCTTGGTTCAACTGTGCCACCAGCAAATTCCTGCATCTGGGTGCGTGAATCATATAGATGTATTCATAGAACGAGACACTGTATAATCTTCTACACTCCATGCATCTCCATGCTCTTCTGGACACATCTTCGTCAAAATGACAATCGCAAGATGACACGGGGACAGCTTTCCCAATCTTATCCAGCAGGGTAGCAGGGATGTCTCCGTGAGTATCAGAGCATCCCAAAGTAGAGCTGAAACTAGAAAATGATAGAAATTGTATGAAATTGCAGATATGCGGATACTAGAAGATACCATCCGATCACACGGGAAGACCATGAAAAATCATGCCACTGTTCTTTCAATCCATTTCACCAAGCTGCAGGAGGAAAATTGCGATAAAAATGACAAATATTGAGACTGTGATGATGACGCAAATCTCGTCCTGCAAGTTCTGGACATCGGCTAGAGAATGTACGAGACTCTTACGCTATCGTACCCTAGTCACTGCGATTCATAAAAATTGCCCTTCATTGACAGGTCCTTTGGGGTGATCATCTCGCTCAAAGCTCAAGATGTTATTCTGGCAATGATGTTAAGCTTCCTTCAGTGGGGTTACGTGTAGACAGCACTGCATATGCAAATGTCCCTGCGTAGGTACCATAATGTACATTGTAATGTATCAGCATGTACTGTAACAGAAAAACACATGTTGTTTGCTGTGTTGGGTCTTTGAGTACATGGCGATAGGTAGCAGGTAGCATGTTCATGCATGTTCCAGCGACAAACGGATTTCTCCTGCATTTGATCAAGGTCACGTGCTGGGAAGAGCCCAATCATGATTGCAAACAGCGAATACGCAGCATTGTCAAGACCTCTCAGGTCAGCAGCATCGATCACTTGCGAGATTCAGCGCTTCATTTGGCGAAAGGTAAGGGTTTCCGGGTTTCCAGACCAGTCAAATCTATTTCATTTCCTGCCGTGGGGCTCTGAGTCCAAAGATGTCCAAACCCTACACTATCATCATTATCATACAGAATCGTAGACCTTTCTCGAGAAAAAAGGCAGCAACCAGCAACATCTCCGGCGACAACCAGGCCTTGGAATGCAGAACTCCGATGTGACAGTGCCGAAATCCCCAAAGCAAAGGAAATGATGAGGAAGCATGCGGCCATCCTGAGGATTTCTTCACCAACCCTAGAGATGTCATGGCTTTGCAGTGACGTTACACACTTTGCAATCTATACTTGAGACTTTGGAAGATAGTTTAAACACGAATTAAATAAATAAATTCATGTGTTTTTTAATGTTTTTTAATTTCACTATGTCGGAAAAAAACGGGAAATTTTAAGATATGATTTTTTATGTTATTGTTTAATATATATATATGTTGTTTTTGTTTCATGACGAAATTTATGATTTCTGGACCGCTTGGGCCAGGGAGAGTTCGGGTCTCGGAATCGTCATTAAAAAACATTTCGGAAAAACACATTAAAAATGTATTGTTTTGTGAACATGTTTACGATTTTGTTTTAATGATTTGATTTATTTTTTATTTTTTTTTGAATGAAAAATATGTTTTTTGTTTAAATGAAAAAATGATTTGCTTGTGAATTCGAAAGGGTAAGAAGAAGCATCAACAAATCATTTTTTTTATGTGTTTTTAAGTTTTTTGAAAGAACATATTATGTTTGTTTTTGAAATGAAAAGTTTATGATTGTTTAATGTTTTTATTTTTTATTTATGATTTGTTTTTGAATTTGAAAAGGTAAGAAAAATCATCAAAGGAACAAACATTTTACCAGTAGTACCCGCAGGAGGCGGGCCGGAAGTTGCCTTAAAGATACGGTAACTACATTTAAATATACGGACTTTTAAATATACGAACAGGTATTTTAGACCACCTCCGGGAAAATTTTCCTTGGCCCGCCCGGCCATTTAAACATACGGAATCCAATTCATTTAAACATACGGTAAGTACATTTAAATATACGAACTGGTATTTCATACTACCTCCGCGGCCTCGCGGTCTGGCCCGCCCTCCACATATTTAAATGTCGTTACCATATATATAAGACCTTTCTCATCTATAGAACTTGCATGCGCCGTGCGCCAGCCAAGCCCGTGCATGCGTGCATTCTGCGAAAGTGGGGTCCTGTTTCTCATGTCACATTTGAAGCTCCACTTCGCACTTCACATTTCTCGCTGCACTCTTCACACTCCACACTTCACGCTTCACACTCCACACTTCACACTTCACTGCACTCTTCGCACTCCACACTTCACTTCACACTGCACTCTTAAGACTCCACACTTCACACTCCACACTTCACACTTCACAGTCCACGCTTCACACTTCTCACTGCTTTCTTCACACTCCACACTTCACACTGCACCCTTCACGCCCCACACTTCACATTGCACTCTTCACACTTCACACTTGCACTTCACACTTGCACTTGATCTCAACTCATCTCATCTGGGCTCTTTCTCATCTCATTCCATGTCTTGCACAAAACACGTTCCAGTACTACTTTGTACTACAAAGCGTGCACAAAGTATTTCCCAGTACTACTTTGTACTACAAAGCTTGCACAAACTACTTCCCAGTACTGATGTCTATTACAGAAGCTTGCCCAAACTACTCCCCAGTACTACTTTGTACTACAAAGCTTGCACAAACTACTTCGCAGTACTACTTTGCACTACAAAGCTTGCACAGAGCACTTCCCAGTACTACTTTGTACTACAAAGCTTGCACAAACTAAACTACTCCCCAGTACTACTTTGTACTACAAAGCTTGCACAAACTACTTCGCAGTACTACTTTGCACTACAAAGCTTGCACAGAGCACTTCCCAGTACTACTTTGTACTACAAAGCTTGCACAAACTAAACTACTCCCCAGTACTACTTTGTACTACAAAGCTTGCACAAACTACTTCGCAGTACTACTTTGCACTACAAAGCTTGCACAGAGCACTTCCCAGTACTACTGTGTACTACAAAGCTTGCACAAAGCACTTCCCAGTACTACTTTGTACTACAAAGCTTGCACAAAGCACTTCCCAGTACTACTTTGTACTACAAAGCTTGCACAGAGCACTTCCCAGTACTACTGTGTACTACAAAGCTTGCACAAAGTACTTCCCAGTATATACTACTTTGTACTACAAAGCTTGCACAAAGCATTTCCCAGTACTACTGTGTACTACAAAGCTTGCACAAACTACTTCCCAGTACTACTTTGTACTACAAAGCTTGCACAAAGCACTTCCCAGTACTACTGTGTACTACAAAGCTTGCACAAACAAACTACTTCCCAGTACTACTGTGACGAAGCAACCTTAATGCAGCCATTACAATGCGATCTGCAGAGACTGAATTGCAAAACACAATAGAACTACGCGCAACGGTGTCGGCAATAGCAGCTCCAAAACCGGATCTCGATGCCAAAGCAGAAAAAAAGACGATTTTGAAGCACTTTTTAAAAGGATTTTTAGAAGGAAAATCACTAGCGCCAAAATTGCGAAAATCTGTGACAAATCACTATCGCAGCCGGGATGCAGCCACTCCAATACGATTTACAATCTTCAACTGCAAAATACAATAGTATTGCGCATGCAGCCGCGGCACCGAGCAACCTTCACGCAGCCATTCCAATGCGATTTTGAGAGACTGAGTTGCAAAACACAATAGAAATACGCGCAACGGCCTCGGAAATTGCAGCTCCAAAAACTAGATCTCGACGCCAAAACGAAAAAAAGACGATTTTGAAGCACTTTTTAAAAGGAAAATTAGTATCGCCAAAATTGCGAGAATTTGCTGACATGACAAATCAATCTCGCAGCCTGGATCCAATCCAATACGATTTACGATTTTCAGCTGCAAAAGACAATAGTATTACGCATGCAGCCGCGGCACCAAGCAACCTTGACGCAGCCATTCCAATGCGATCTGCCACCACAGCTTCAAGAAACGCATAGAACTACGCATAGGAACAACCTCTCGTTGCAAAACACATAGGAGGAACAATTCGCGCATGAAACGACCGCACCCGCAACCGCCGCGCATACGAGGTACCTTTCATCGCCGGCTGCAGCCACTTTACACGGATAAACACAAGGTTTCGTGCTCCGGCTTCCTCCCCAAAACATAGCCCATGCAACATTCATGCAGCCATTACAATGCGTTTCGCAGACTCCCGTAGCAAACCTGCACCTATCTACGCACGTGGCAACATCAAATGACGACAATGAAGCAGCCATTCCAATGCAAACTGCAACCAGAGATTCAAGAACCGCATAGAACTACGCACACAGACACAACCACTCGTTGCAAAACACATAGGAGGAACAATTCGCGCATGAAACGACCGCAGCCGCATCCGCCGCACAGACGAGGCACCTTTCATCGCCGGCTGCAGCCACTTTACACGGATAAACACAAGGTTTCATGCTCCAACTTCCTCCCCAACACAAAGCCGATGCAACATCATGCAGCCATTCCAATGCGATCTGCCACCACAGCTTTCAAGAAACGCGTAGAACTACGCACACAGACACAACCACTCGTGGCAAAACACATAGGAGGAACAATTCGCGCATGAAACGACCGCAGCCGCAACCGCCGCACAGACGAGGCACCTTTCATCGCCGGCTGCAGCCACTTTACACGGATAAAACACAAGGTTTCGTGCTCCGGCTTCCTCCCCAACACAAAGCCCATGCAACATCATGCAGCCATTCCAATGCGATCTGCCACCACAGCTTCAAGAAACGCATAGAACTACGCACACAGACACAACCACTCGTTGCAAAACACATAGGAGGAACAATTCGCGCATGAAACGACCGCAGCCGCAACCGCCGCACAGACGAGGTACCTTTCATCGCCGGCTGCAGCCACTTTACACGGATAAACACAAGGTTTCGTGCTCCGGCTTCCTCCCCAACACAAAGCCCATGCAACATCATGCAGCCATTCCAATAAGATCTGCCACCACAGCTTCAAGAACCGCATAGAACTACGCACACAGACACAACCACTCGTTACCGCAAAACACATAGGAGGAACAATTCGCGCATGAAACGACCGCAGCCGCAACCGCCGCACAGACGAGGTACCTTTCATCGCCGGCTGCAGCCACTTTACACGGAAAAACACAAGGTTTCGTGCTCCGGCTTCCTCCCCAACGCACTTCCCTTCCTCACCACTTCCCATCGTCACCACCTCCCTTCGTCCACTTCCCTTCCTCACCACTTCCCTTCGTCACCACTTCCCTTCGTCACCACTTCCCATCGTCACCACTTCCCTTCGTCACCACTTCGCTTCGTCACCACTTCCCTTCGTCACCACTTCCCTTCGTCACCACTTCCCTTCGTCACCACCCCGTCATTGTCAGCAGCCTTCATCAAGGTCAATTCCACCGCTTCTTATTCTTTTGCTATGTATTGTTATGTTATGTATTGTTATACGATCTACCGCCCTTCATCATTTCAAGTCTCAGAGTTATATTTGTCCGTAACACGGAAGTATTGCTTCCCAACTTCCTTTCATGATTTTGTTTATGAATATTTTTTTGATTTGTTTATGAAAAATATGAATTGTTTTATGAAATATGTATGTTTTTTCAATGAAAACATATGTTTTTTAATGAACATTTTATGATTTGTTTTATGAGAAAAGATGGATTTTAGTTATGATTCTGATATGATTTTTGTTTGATTCCGAGGGTCCTCCCGGAGCCCAAGCGGTCCAAATTTCATAAAATTCATCATAAATTCTATCATAAATAAATCATAAGTGAAAAACGAAAAAACACAATCATAAAATTCATCATATTGAAATCGTAAAAAAGAACATAAATAAGAATATTTTTAGCATAAGGCTCCCGTGCTACTTGCAAAGTCTCAAATCTATACACAAAAGAGGTATGTTTTTTGAATGGTTTGATTGGAAATTTCAGCAAAAATGTCTGGTGGAAATCGATGGAAATCGTAGTTTCCACCGAACTTCCACGTTTCCAAAGCCCTTGGCAAAACGGTTCAGGGACCTGATTCAAAATGATTCAAGTAATTGCATACCTTCACTGCAAGCTTGATGTCTTGTCAAGTCTTGTCTGCTGTCTCTGCTGGCACCACAAAATATTGCTCACTTTGCTGCCGAGAATCAAAAAGAGGCCAACTTCTGCCAAGACACGACCACACATCATAACAAAGGATGAGATTCGCATGGAAAGGATGCTGAGATTAATGATTAATGCGCAATACAGCAGCATGGCAACACCTCGGAAAACTAGATAAGTTTGTTAAGTCACAGGCTCCGAGACAATGAAGCTTTGCTTTGATGAACGGCTTCACTTGGGGTTTAAAAGCAAGCAAAGCTGTGAAATCTACTGGCAAATTCCGCACTCTGAAATTTGGACAGTGTACTTGAGCTGTCTCAGTATGCAAATCACATGCCTGAACCAATTGTACCGAGTTACATGACAAAGCAGCGTAGGAATCTGCACGATACAGAGCCCCATCACAGTTGCTTGTGAAGAGCAACCTTGGTGTGGAGAGGGTCGCATTGGCTGAGTTTTCATAGTCTCAAGTCCGAATTATCTATATAAATTCTATATAATAATACAACGTCTTTTGGATAAAATCCGGGGAGGATTGGACCAAGTTCAGGACTTGGTACCCTTTACAAATGTGATGGAAACACATCAAATTGGACGTTCATAGATACAATGCGTCTTTGATCCAATCATATACTGTAATTGCCTGCGCTTCACGTTCGCCGTTCGCCTGATACAATACTCTCAAATTTTGCATCGTTTCCGGAACCGCAGCTGGAACCTACCTACAAGTAACTACAAGTATGTCTCTTCACCTCCCCTATTGCTTTTGGCAGGAGAAAGTGTTGCTGACGATAGCAATTCGCTCTCGCAAACCTAATAGCAGCTGAATCAAGCTGGAAATATACAACTTTCAGGTGCGCATGCGGACCGGAACTCATGGAAAGTATGCTTTGTTGCAAAAAACTCAAACTCGGAAAGAAGTATCACGGGCTGCTAGTGCAGGGCAATCATCCCAAACAATATTTTTGATGTGTGCTAAGAATTTTGAGTGCAATATATAATATCCTTTAAGAGGCTTTGTTTGACATCACATGGTTTGGAGTTTGGAGATGTGGTTTCCTGCTCCCGGCAGCCCTCCGACAGGAGACCCGTCGCCAGAAGGATCATTTAAACACCACCAAATCGGCTCCTGGATGCACATCATCAGCCTTGGCAAAGCAGGTCTCCGATGCATTCACATGGGGTCTCTTTGGGACTTCAAATGCATGGGTGGAAACAATATTAAACAATATGAAATGATACCAATGATACTGTACTTCTGATATCTTCTGGAATTTTGCCGATTGCTCCCTCCGACTCGAAGCACCAAGAACGGGCATAAGGAGGGAAAAGCAAGAAACCATGACAACTAGACATGGAAACCTGGGGTCCCAACAGAGTCCAAAACAATGCGATATAGCCCAGCTCTGTCATACCTTATTTGCGCATGCAAATGCAATTCAGGGAGAAGTAGTGTATAAAGTAGTAGGGTGCGTGCGCCTATCAGCGGATCGATCAAGAGACGTTCTCTTTTTGGAACATTCAGGAAACAGAAAAGGATCAAAGGGGATCAAAAAGGATCAAGAAGGTTTGACCACTGAAACTAGTGCTGGGAGCTGAAGCTTCAGCTCTGGCTCCGGGAAAAAGAATTTGAAATGTGGAGATCAAATCCACCAAGTTAGCAGCACGTCCATGTTGCCAGGTTGCAGCAAAGGTGTTCAGGCACTGGGATGCGCCAAATCCTGTCAGCAAAATGGCATCAAATGATCGCAAACCATTTTTGGTGTCACTACTGCAACTCCTTCAGTAGGAGAAACTGTTTCAGGGGGGACTGCACAATTGAAAACCACAATGTGACTGGGGAGCGTACCCGTCTATTGGGATCTATTATATAAATCTATTGGGAATGTCTAATGGTGTACATGTGTATGTAATAGTCTGTGGGGTTGTTTATTCTGCGCCAGCAATCTTTCATAATTTCGTACGTCCGTGTTGCTGTCTGGCTTCCCACTTATGTTACTTATGTTGTTCGATTTGCTGTGTTCGGAACGTTCTTGTTGTTGTATAAGTCAATGTCTTCCCCATGAAACATCTGGACATGCTGATATTAGAAACGTGGAATGGCTACCAAACAGTTCTATGTCCAGCTCATTCAGAGAATATCGTTTGTTGATAGCAAATTGGTTTATGCAGCAATCGTGTTCGCTCAAATTGCGTATCTGCTTCCTATCGGTTCCTATAAGGTACCGTTTGTGACATCTTGCTATTGAAAAACTGTCAAACCTCGCCTGCCTTAATGGTTTAAATGACATCGTGTCTAAGCTGTGATTGCAAGACAGGTTGTGCCTGCTGAAGTTCCTGTCCCTGATGTCCTTGTAACACAGGCGAATAGAACCTTGGTCGCAAGTGTGAGTCTTCTGGATTTTTTCTTTTTTATATTGGTTTCTCGCCCCCCTCCATTGTCTGAGGCAGGTGCGGATCAACAAATGGCACCTGAGGGCCAAAACCCAAACGAACAAATCACACATTTCATGTTCTGCGGATTTCAGAGTGAAAATTGCCGGACCCATTATTGACCACAGGATTTCCTTGCAGTGGTCTAAATCTGGTCAACAAAATCATGTGATCCCATATTTTCTCTGGAATTCCATGGTTGATTGATCTTGGCCAAGTCCCAAAGCTGATCCCCGTGTCATCTTAGAATCATGAACTGTATAGCCTGTATAGTTCGTCCGATCGCCAAAACCTCACGTGGCCCAGGCACATGCTGCCCAGGTAAATGAAGCAGCGGCAAATGAAGACTGCCACATTGCCCTGAGCTAGCAATTGATCACCCCTCCCCCGCATCCACATGCTGGTGAAATCATGAAATACCTGGGCAATGGGTAATCATATCACCCATGGCCCATTACATCTACATTTCCATCTCCATCTCCATTTCCATCTCCATCTACTACATCATCATCATCATCACCACCATCATCATCACCACCATCAGCTTGCATACCATGCATACCATACCATGCATGCCATGCATGCCATGCATGCCATGCATGCCATGCATGCCATGCATACCATGCATCATCGTTATCGTCCTGGTTTCACTTCTGAGCCCGGTGCCTCCTTGGACATTGCTCCATCCGTGGAAGGAAGTAGTGCCTGACCTGGGTCAGGGGAGCCCAGTACGCCATAGCTGCCAACACATGTTCACAGAATGTTGCCCCGGTGATAGTTCGAAAGCAAGCTGTAGATTGGTCTGGTCAAGGACAAAAAATACTAACACAGTGGAAAATTCAACTATCCGTGTGGCGCGTTCCTTGAGGCGCTTGCTGAACGCAAAAACAGACAGGGTGATGAAGAAGTAAAGTCTCCTCAAACGTGGATTTGCAACAGTTTTTTCCAGACAATTCAATCAGGACAACGTGGTTGCATTGAAAACAAGCATGCCGCCAATACACATCGGACGCCCTGCACTCAGATCAAACCTCTGAACAGAACCTTGACCTATCTCCCAGACTTCAAGTATCATGGGTTCCATTTCAGTTTCGTCTGCAGAAAAGCGTTCAAAGCATTGCAACTTACGGGCCCTATGGATGAGACGCTTTACAAGCGGTTTGAGTGCTGCAGTCCCAGCTGTTGCAGTTTCAATTTTTCCGCAACAGGCATAATAACAAAACATAAATTGTTCATATGATTTCATGGCATGACAGTACGATGTACATTTTTTCTGAATCATGATGAAGCATTTGTTTGTTTTTGCAGATTTGCCTGCGCCATCCCTGGCCTGGGATGTCACCAATGTTGGCAAGCTACCCAACCTTCCAAACTGATTACAGAACTGTTTTTGAGCAGCCAAGCTTCCCAATCAAGAAGTAATACATGGCAACACGAGTCCAAAGCATATCCGTGAAAAGAACCTCAGATCATCTTGGGACAAGTCTCACCAATGGCGCAGTCAAATTGTTGAAGCTGTCCCGCAGAAGAGCCACAGAATAACCAATGGGCATTTCTGCTTCGTGCATTGCTGCATTTGCTACAACACGGACGAGCAGCGACCACAGGATGACTAATGATCTTCGGGCAATTGAAATCCACCAGCCACTCCAGAGCCTGTAACATTGCCACATTTGCAGAAAACATACATACATACATACGTACGTACGTACGTACGTACGTACATGTTGTGACATGACATGACATGCCTTGACATGACATGACATGACACTCCACTCCGCTTACACTACACTGCAAAAGATTGCAAAACATTACATAATGAACAAAAATAAGTAGTGGGTCGACATGCCAGTGGTCTGGATTGACAACGTTTTTCTAATGCAAAGAAACGCAGGGAACAAAACAAATGAACAGTAATAAAGGAAATGGAAACAAGATGCAACCCACGAACCCAAATGCAGTCACGTAGAACACTTGTGAGAAACAAGTTATTTGAACAGACTACATTTTCCCCTGTGACCGTACCAGTGCACTGTAGATTGTTGAATGCGGAAGACAGTGGAGTGCAAAGTGTGGAGTGTAGAGTCCAAAAAAGTAGGGTGTGGAGTGTAAAGTGTGGAATTTGGAGTGTAAAGTGTGGAATTTGGAGTGTAAAGTGTGGAGTGTAAAGTGTAAGAGTGTGACGTGTAAAGTGTAAAGTGTGGAGTGTAAAGTGTAGAGTGTAAAGTGTACTGTAAAGTGTAGAGTGCCGAGTGTGGAGTGTAAAGTGTAAAGTGTAAAGTGTGGAGTGTGGAGTGTAATGTGTGGAGTGAGGAGTGTATAGTGTGAAGTGTGAAGTGTAAAGTGTGGAGTGCAGAGTGTGGAGTGCAAAGTGTAGAGTGTAAAGTGCGGAGTGTAAAGTGGAAAGTGGGGAGTGTCGTGTGTAGAGTGTGGAGTGTGCAGTGTGGAGTGTAAAGTGTAGGGTGTGGAGTGTGGAGTGTGAAGTGTGAATATGGAGCGTAGCGTGTGGAGTGATGGGAGTAAAGTGTAAACTGTGGAGTGTGGAGTGTAAATGGGGAGTGAGGAGTGTAAATGGGGAGTGTAAAATGTCGAGTGTAAAGTGTGGAGTGTGGAGTGTAAAGTGTGGAGTGTAGAGTGTGGAGTGTGGCGTGTAGAGTGTAAAGTGTCGAGTGTAGAGTGTGGAGTGTAGATGGGGAGTGTAAAGTGTGAAGTGTAAAGTGTGGAGTGTAAAGTGTAGAGTGTGAAGTGTAAAGTGTAAATTGTAAAGTGCCGAGTGTAAAGCGTAAAGTGTGGAGTGTAAAGAGTAAAGTGTGAAGTGTGGAGTGTAAAGTGTAAAGTGTGGAGTGTGAAGTGTGGAGTTTGGAGTGTAGAGTGTAGAGCGTGGAGTTTAAAGTGTAGAGTGTACAGTGTAGAGTGTGGAGTGTGGAATGTAAAGTGTGGAGTGTAGAGTGTGGAGTGTAATGTGTGGAGTGTGGAGTGTAAAGTGTGGAGTGTGCAGCGGGTAAAGTGTAGAGTGTGGAGTGTAAAGTGCAGAGTGTAGAGTCTAAAGTGTGGAATGCAAAGTGTGGAGCGTAAAGTGTAAAGTGTGGCGTGTGGAGTGTAGTGTGGAGTGTGGAGTGTAGAGTGTGGAGTGTAGAGTGTGGAGTGTAAGTGTGGAGTGTGGAGTGTGGAGCGTACAGTGTGGAGTGTAGAGTGTAGAGCGTGGAGTGAGGAGTGTACAGGGTAAAGTGTGAAGTGTCAAGCGTAAAGTGCAAAGTGTGGAGTGCAAAGTGTCGAGTGTGGAGTGCAAAGTGTAGAGTGTAGAGTGCGAACTGTGGAGTGTAAAGTGTAGAGTGTAAAGTGTAGAGTGCAAAGTGTAGAGTGCCGAGTGTGGAGTGTAAAGTGTAAAGTGTAAAGTGTGGAGTGTGGAGTGTGGAGTGTAATGTGTGGAGTGAGGAGTGTATAGTGTGAAGTGTGAAGTGTAAAGTGTAAAGTGTGGAGTGTGGAGTGTAATGTGTGGAGTGAGGAGTGTATAGTGTGAAGTGTGAAGTGTAAAGTGTGGAGTGCAGAGTGTGGAGTGCAAAGTGTAGAGTGTAAAGTGTAGGGTGTGGAGTCTGGAGTGTGAAGTGTGGATATGGAGCATAATGTGTGGAGTGATGGGAGTAAAGTGTAGGGTGTGGAGTGTGGAGTGTAAATGGGTAGTGTAAATTGTCGAGTGTAAAGTGTGGAGTGTAAAGTGTGGAGTGTAGTGTGTGGAGTGTGGTGTGTAAAGTGTAGAGTGTCAAGTGTCGAGTGTAGTGTGTGGAGTATACATGGGGAGTGTAAAGTGTGAAGTGTAAAGTGTGGAGTGTAAAGTGTAGAGTTTGAAGTGTAAATTGTAAAGTGCCGAGTGTAAAGTGTAAAGTGTGGAGTGTAAAGAGTAAAGTGTGAAGTGTAAAGTCTTGGGCATGGAGTGTAAAGTGTAAAGTGTGGAGTGTGAAGTGTGGAGTTTGGAGTGTAGAGTGCGGAGTGTAGAGCGTGTAGTGTAAAGTGTAGAGTGTAAAGTGTAGAGTGTGGAGTGTGGAATGTAAAGTGTGCAGTGTGGAATGTAAAGTGTGGAGTGTAGAGTGTGGAGTGTAATGTGTGGAGTGTGGAGTTTAAAGTGTGGAGTGTGCAGGTCGGTAAAGTGTAGAGTGTGGAGTGTAAAGTGTAGAGTGTAGAGTGTAAAGTGTGGAATGCAAAGTGTGGAGAGTAAAGTGTAAAGCGTGGCGTGTGGAGTGTAGAGTGTAGAGTGTGGAGTGTAGAGTGTGGAGTGTAGAGTGTCGAGTGTAAGTGTGGAGTTTGGAGTGTGGAGTGTAAAGTGTGGAGTGTAGAGTGTAGAGCGTGGAGTGCGGAGTGTAAAGTGTAAAGTGTGGAGTGTCAAGTGTAAAGTGCAAAGTGTGGAGTGCAAAGTGTCGAGTGTGCAGTGTAAAGTGTAGAGTGTAGAGTGCGAACTGTGGAGTGTAAAGTGTAGAGTGTGGAGTGTGGAGTGTAAAGTAAGGAGTGTGGAGTGTCGTGTGTGAAGTGTGGAGCGTAAAGTGTGGAGTGTAAAGTGTAGAGTGTAAAGTGTAAATTGTAAAGTGTGGGGTGTGGAGGGTAAAGTGTATAGTGTGGAGTGTTAAGTGTGGAGACTAAAGTGTGGAGTGTAAAGTGTAGAGTGTGGAGTGTAAAGTGTGGAGTGTAAAGTGAAAACTGGGGAGTGTCGTGTGTAGAGTGTGGAGTTCAGAGTGTGGAGTGTAAAGTGTCAAGTGTGAAGTGCGGAATGTAAAGTCTAAAGTGTGGAGTGTAAAGTGTAAAGTGTAAAGTGTAAAGTGCTGAGGATGGATGGAGCGTAATAAAAGTGTAAGTGTAGAGTGTGGAGTGTGAAGTGTGGAGTGTGGAGTGTAGAGTGTGGAGTGTAGAGTGTGGAGTGTGAAGTGTAGAGTGTACAGTGTAGAGTGCAAAGTGTGGAATGCAGAGTGTGGAGTGTGAAGTGTAAAGTGTGGAGTGTGGAGTGTAGAGTGTGGAGTGTAGAGTGTGGAGTGTAGAGTGTGGAGTGTGAAGTGTAGAGTGTACAGTGTAGAGTGTAAAGTGTGGAATGCAGAGTGTGGAGTGTGAAGTGTCAAGTGTGGAGTGTGGAGTGTAGAGTGTGGAGTGTGGAGCGCGGAGCACGCAATGCGACACGTCTGAGGTGCTGCGCCTGCCGCGTAAAATGGCGATGGAGGTTTCCAAAGCGATGTGCATGCCACGAATACTGCAACTCATCTCGTGAAAATGACGCGAAAGTATTGCGCCTGCCACAGAAAACAGGTTGGAATGTCACAAAATGCCACGCCTGCCACGCAAAACAACATTACAACCTGCTTTAACACCTTCGAAAAGGAAAGGTTTTGCAGCTTCCCCTGTAGACACGGCGACGCCACAGGAAAACCAGAGACTCGAGGCGAGACACGCGGGAGCATCAAAACGAGCATTTCGTGCGAGACATCCTCCAATTTTCACACTTTGTAGCTTCAAAACCGATGTTTTCCGACAAGTTTTCTTATGAACCTCTACCCTGAGCATCGCATTCTGATGAGAAAAAATACTTTGATGCTCTGAGATATTGTTTTTTTGACGCTCCAAAATCACGTTTTTTTTCTGTTTTTTCCTTGATTATATCTTGATATTTTTCTTGATTTTCATCTTGATATTTTTCTTGATTTCATCTGTTTTTTTGATTTATTTAAAATTATTGATTTCTCTCCTTACCTTTTCTGACCTATCTGGATCTTTCCTTGGCTGCTTCATGTCTGCATATGGTTGACATGTCCACCACCCATACATGCAGTTTTGGCTCTAATTTTGCTTTTGTCGCTTCGTTTTGGAACCTTGCAAAAGTCAAGGCCCAGGTCTTGGAAAAGGTCCAAGTCTTGGTAAAGGGTAGGCTTTGGAAAAAGCCAGGCCAATGTCCAGGAGAGGGCCCAGACATGAAACCGAACCTCTGGTGGATGTTGGCTTGGCTTGCAAGTGCCTGGAAAAGCACAAGGATATCCTGGCTGACCTGGGGGCCTATAAGCATATGTGCTCCAGCTCTGGGCCCAATGCTAAGGCTTTGCATGCCACCAGGAAGCTATGGACAGGGTTGTTGGATCTGGAGCCAAGTGGATTGATCCACAGCCACTGAGACAGGCTCTTCTGTCTTTGTTGGCAGGGAACCCAGATATCAACCTGAGGAAACATATTGGGCTGGTGTGGGCCAATTTGAAGGTGGAGACGCTGAACTGCCTCCTGACACACATCAGGAAACTTGGCGACTGCCAAGCTCACCAGGGACCAGTACCATGAATTGCTGGTGGGCTTGAAAAAGCTCAAAATGCCTAGCAAAACAGAGCTGGCCCTGGTGCCAGTGGCAGCAGCAAAAGAGGAGCTTGGAAAAGCACCTTCTGCTAAGAGCAAAGCAGCCACAAGTGAGCTTGGAAGAGCATCGCCTCAAAAAAAGGCCCATGTGCTTGGAAAAGCCAAGCTTGGAAAAGCCAAGCCTAGCAAAAAGGCAGGGAAGCTTGGAAAAAGTTGGCAAGGAGGATGCCCTTGGAAAAGGTAAAAGAAAGCTGGCTCCCAGAATCAATGATGTGAGCTTAGACTCTGAAGGCTTGCCTGGGATGTTCAACAGCCCCTCCAAGAAAGCCAGAGCTGCATCT